TATCAAGAAAGATATTAAAAGAATTAAGAATTGAAAGAAAACTTGATAAAGATGTCAAATTAATTGAAACTAAATACAGTGTTGAAGAAAAAAAGAAATATAATATGTTAGTTTTAGATACTATCTTCAGAACATATTTTAGAGTATTAAAAGAAAATCAAGAATCTCCATTAGTTCCTTTAGTTTTAGAAGGAATGTCTATTCACACTCATAAAATTAATTATGACTTTATGTTAGATATTATCAAATTATTACAACAATTACTTGAAAACAAAGCAGACAAATTACAACCAATTGATACTATTAGAGTCTGTTATACTATTTTTAATACATTAAAACTTCAAAATTTCCTTGTTACAATTGATAATGTTCAATTTTATGAATCAATGTATAAGGTATTAGACCAAATTCTATTATTCCAAGATGATTTTATTGGAGAACAACACATTGATAATAGACAAAAATTAGTTGGTGTATTAAAAATTATGCTTCTTGATATTAAACAATTGCCTCCAGTTAGAATTGCTTCATTTGTTAAAAGAATATTAATTATGATGTTGAACTGTGACTCTTCTATAGCTTTAGACTTCTGTGCTATTCTCACTTGGATCTTTAAAAGATATCGAGATACTTTTATTGGTCTTATTGAACAAGAAAATGGATTTGGTATTTATAATCCATCAGTCCAACAACCAGACCATTCAGGTGCAATCAACTCATGCTTATGGGAACTAACATTGTTACAACTTCATCATAGTCCTCAAATAAGAAAATGGGTTGATTCAATAAAAATTCTTCTAACTAAACACTGATTGAATATGGTATTAATAATTTCTTTCTTGTTATGTCATTTATCAAACTTAAGTCATTAAGAAACAAATAAATCAATTTAACACTCCTCCATTGATTTTTTTGGTATTTCAAAATTCTTTTTATATTTATTATTTGCATCATCAATCAATGCCTTCAGTTGTTCATACAATTTTTCTTTATGTTCAACTTGTTTTTCAAACAGAAGAGCATAATACTTTTTTGCTTGATAGGGTCGATAAGAGTTTAATGCTTGGTGCATTGTAGAAATTAATAACCGAAGATGATAAACATAAGGTGTAATAACCTCATACCTATGTGGTTGATTCATTTGTTTAGAAATAATGGCAAGATATGCTACAAGGATTGAGTGGTTTAATTGTTTTAACTGATCTCTTACATCTTTTGTTCTATCAAGTATCTCACTTGGGAACAAATCGGTTTCCTCTCTTTTGACAGTTCTATTAAAAGAAAAATAAGTTTCATCATCACCTAAACAAGCAGGAGGTTTAGGCCAAGTACTTTCATCATTACTTTCCCATTCTTGAATAAAGTGAGGAGGATCAAGGTATTTTTCCGCTGACATCTTTGAATAACATTTTAAGTTTTATTATTTGTGATATTAAAAAATAAAACAAAAAAAATAAATTAAAAAGTTAGTTTTCAATTAATTGGTTTAATTCACTTACAATCAATTTGATTGCTTCTTTATCAATTGGTTCTTTTTTATATTGTTCATTTAATTTAGAAATAACGTCAGCAATTACTTGGTGTTGTTGTTGGGACTGACAATTCTCTTCATTACTTTTTTTCTCTTTGTTTACTTTTTTTGTACTTGGTGTTTCTCCCCATGGAGATTCAACAATCCACGATGGAGTTTCATTTGAATTAACAGCTTCAAGTGTTGCAGGTGATGCTCTAGTACCAATAGGTCCAGAAGAATTCATAGAAGAGTAATGACGAGGACTAGATGAATCTTTCTTTCCATGTAAGAAGGATGTTAATTTTTGGGTAATATTTGGTTGTTGAGTTTGTTGAGGTTTAGGAACAATAGGATAATTTCCTTCAGCAATATTAACTGCTAATTTAATTAAATTATGAAGATTTTCTACAGGTGGAAATTTAGTTACTCTTTTCATTATATAGATATAGTCATCATGTTCTACAATATCGTTTCGAATGTAATGTAACATTGCTAAAAAGAATCCATCACAAAGCTTTAACGAATTACCATAAGCAAATATAGCATCCCATATTATTACAGAATCAGCTAATAAAAATTCTCTTGCAAACATCATTTTTAACCATTTAATACCAAATACACTTAATACTTGATGTTTTAATAAAATTGAATGATATTGACTATCATATTGATTTAAATTATCAAAGATTGCTTCACATTTCTCTTGAATCTTTGAACTATTGTCTGCCACACTTCGTTTGAGATCTCTGAATTCATATAATACACCAAGGTCTTTCATAAGATATTCGAAAGTAATGTATGTATCTTCCTCAAGATATTTTGAATTAAACATTTCTAATAAAATCTTATTTCATTATTATTATATTTCTTATGTATTTAAATAAATAAAAAAACTACAAACAGATTTATTTGGTTCTTCTAAACTAATTTGTTCAGAGTGTTCTTTAATAAAAGTAGTAGTAATATCAGTATCAAATGTATGATATATAATTGCCATAATTTCATGAAATCCTTGTTGATAATTTTTGTCTGTATGATCCTTAGCAAAAACATAACACATTCTTGTAATTTTTTCTCTAAATTGAGGATCAGTAAAGTATTCTTGATCAGAAAATAATCTATTAACATCTGCCTCAACTCTCCTAAGAATGTCTTTATTAAATTTAATTTCTGGGTCTTCTGTAGGTGGAGCTAAAGGATCAACAAATGCAACTTTTGGTTCTAACTTTTCTTTATTTTCCCAATGCCTTTAACTATCAGTTATGATTTATATACAATAATAATAACAAACATTGCCCTTAAATCATCATAATTTTTTCGTTGTTTATTCATTACCTCAATCCATTCTTCACTGGCTTGAGGTTTAATTATTTTTAAGAAAATTTTCCATGCAAGTGGACGTAATGCCTTATTTAATCCTTCTTCAATGGCAATTTTCTTTAACTTTTCAAATCCATTAGATTCAAGATAAAGACTTTTGAAAATGCCTGTAATTGAATCACTCATCAATTAATGAAAGATGTCGCTTTCTTTTTGAGATTTTTTAAGTTTTTAGAACTATACTTTAAGTATATTTTTAGTTTTTTTTTTACTTTTTATTACATAAAATTTTTCCTTGTTGCTTCATTTTTCTTTAGTTAAGAAAATAGAATCTTGGAAAGAAATAAAATAATCTTAAGCTTTAAACTTCTTTAAACAATATTAATACGTCTTTAGATCAATTATTCCTCTTCATTTTTACTCAATTTTATTCACTTAATCTTTCAATTCATTTATTATTTTATTTTTTTATTAATTTGAATTAGAGTCTTTTCTATATTTTAAAAAATAAAATTAATAGAATTATTATTCATTTTGTTGACTTGTTATAATATTATTAATATTATTATAGTATTAATAACCTTATTACATATGATAGTCTTATAATCAATTAATTCCTTCACTTAGATAGATTATAATGAAAAAAACCAAAAAAAAATATCTTTCTTTTTACATGAAAAAATATTCTTCATTTAAAATTTTTGTTATTCATAATTAATAAAAAAGAATAGTTATTACTTTATTATCTTGAGCTTTGATGAAAATACTTCTTCTACTGTAAAATATTCCTAAATTTAAAAAGCTTTCTTTTTCTAAATTAACGTTATTACAAAAACATCAAAAATGATGTTTAAATCAATTTCACAAAACGTTAATTCTATAAACATTCTTGATTGTTTCGATATGTTCTAAGCATTTTTTAAGAGAAGATTTTTTAATGATTTAGAAACAGTTTTCTATTTGATGAGGTATAATGTTTAGACAAACTCAACGACATTTGTAATTTTAAAAAAAAGTGAATCTTCAAAATACTATTCATTCTTTTTATGTCTGAAGCATATCAAATTTATCCTTCTCTTGTTGTTACATTTAATGAAGATGTTAACAATCTAAAAGAATTATCTAAAGGAACTATATTAGAACCATTTTTTACTGACAATAGTCCAATTAGTAGTGATATGACTGAAATAGTTGCTGTAAATGACTACATTCAAAAAAATTCATTAGCCGATCTTCCTGATGTATTTGTTTGTGAGAAGGTAGAAAAAATGATACAAGGAGGGGTCAAACCTTTTCAAGCAATGGAATTTGGTAAAGTTTTAGGGAATAATGATAGGATGAGTTTATTCTTTGAAATGATTAAACCTTCAACAATGTATGTTATTGCTCGAGAAGATGAGAATAAAATTTTAAGACTATTTCTATTTGGGCTTTATAAAATGAAAGTACTCTCTCCACCTGTTCTACATATTGTTAAACAAATGTATTTTGAACCAATGAATATTCCATGTCAATCAAAGATTAAAAAACCAAAGAATGAAATTTCTGAATTAGTGAATTATAGACTAGGAGACATGGAAAATGCCTTAGATGAGATGAGAAAGAAAGTTAGTCAATTGACAATGAAGATTACTCTAATTGAGTCTGAACATTCACCAATAATTCAGACAAATAACATCCATGAAGAACAAGTAAAAATTCAACCAAAAGATAATCCTTTTATTTTTGTTTGTAAGGAGAATAAAACATATATTAAAGTTATTGATGGAACATTAAGAGGAAATATTTATTATGTTGATTATATTAGTGAAAATATATCAATTAAAATGGAAAATGACCAACTTTTTATTACTGACTCTGAAGGAAATAGTATTGATAAACATCAATTGGATGTATCACAGAAAATAGAATTGTTATGGGAAGTGATTGATCCTATCTTTAACAATAATGTAGAAGATATGAATGTTGAGTCAAAAACACTTAATGAAAATTGGAAGTTATTTGATGATTTATTAAATAATATTTAATATTTTAGTCATTAACTTATTAAATTAATTTGTTTTTCTTTTTGTAATAATAAAAAATCAAATCAGTTTATTATCTATTCTAGTTCTTCATTTTGTTCATGTTCATCACTATAACTATTTTCTTCATTACCATTAACATCTTCATCAATGCTATCTTTCATTTCTTCATCAACACTATCATCTTCAACAAATTCCTTACGAGCTTTTTCTAATAGTTTTTCATTCTTAAAATCAAACCCACTAGCTTTAACTTCTTCATCTAAATTCTCTGTTTGCTCAATATCTTTTAAAGTGATAACTTCTTCAGTTCCAAATCCAAACCTTTTCCAAAAAAAGGTTTTAATACATCCAACATCACGGTCAAAGAATTCTTCAGCTTCAGAACAATGAACACTAACCATTTGAGGAAAATCAATCATTGTCAATTTGTCATCATCACTTAATATAAGATTAAATTCATTCAAATCACAATGAATTAATCCACATTCAGCTAATTTAACTGCAAGATCAAGTCCTTGATGGAAAACAGCAATAGGCTCTTCTATTTCTCTAACATTTGCTAATAAAGTTCCTTTAACTCGTGACATTAAAACACAATGTCTATTACAATCAACTGGGATTGGAGTAGGGAAACCTTTTGCATATAATGCTTTCATAAAAGCAAATTCTTTTTGAGCAGATAAACGAGATAAATACAACCAATTGGTAGTCACACGACCTTTTGTATAATCTCTTTTCTTTTTGACAGCTCTAAATGATGTTCTTCCTAATCTATGGAATTTTAGTACTAAATCATCTCCTTTTTCATTAGTTGCTAAATAAATATCAGCTTCTTTACCAACTCCAATCTTTTGTGCAACACCAGTTATAACTCCTCGTTGTGTAAGTGTTCTTAATGCAAGATAATCATAACCAAGATATGTCAGTCTATATCCATTATATGGCATCGTTGAATGCCAAACAAGTTTGTGTTTATGTAAATCTTTCATAGACCGAACTACCAAGGATTGGTTTAATTTAGAAATTTGAATTATTAATTCTAATGGTACTAATTCGTGATTACGCATTCCCATCTCAATGGCTGTTAATACCCTAAACTCTTCTTTAGACATAAACCGAAAAAATGATGGGTCAAGCTTCACCATAGTAAATACATTTTAAAATTCTTTTGTTTTTTTCTATTTTTATAATATTTTTTGTTTTAGGTTTTTACTATAAAAATAGTATAATAATACTATATACAATAGTTTATACAAATATAATAAGAGAATTACCGTAAGTACATCTAAATTATAGTAAAATATAAATTAAAGAAAATTCATTGTATTAAAGAAGAACAATCCTTAAGTTATTGAGACGAGAAAAAGAAAAAAGTATAAAAACCCTAATGCGGAACTTGAGATAATGTAGATTACTCATCATGGGTATTGAACCAGCATTAGAAGCTATTGCTAGAAAATATAATTGTGACAAAATGATTTGCAGAAGATGTTATGCTAGACTTCCTCTCAGAGCTACTACTTGTAGAAAAAAGAA